CGATGTCCTCAAACCCCTCGTCGAAAAATTTCTGGCGCCGCTACTGGATGTAAGTGTATAGGCGGAAAGGTTTGTGATATTCTATCAAATGTTATAAGGTTTAACACTATACTACATTATAACTTTTCTGTACTGACTCAAGTAGGTAAAAATCATCCTATTTTGCCAGTTAACACCCCCTCATTTAATCATCAACCCCTCCCCTTTACCAGATACGCCACTGGGCCCCATTAAGCATGGATATGAGCCTGACAGTAATAAGCCGATCCATCTATATATAATAACAAAGTATTATTACATTTTACGAGAAACCGTTTGCAATAGTGTAATGAATATTACACGCCATTTAAACTTTTATTCCCCCAGTGTGTTTTAAATGTGACATACCCATATTTCAGTATAATATGTCATCATCATGCCCATATCTGGCCACATTACCAACATTTCCACATACAATAGTGTAGACAAAGCGTTACAAATGCTTTTTAATTTTCATTTCTTTCCTTCCGTAAGTTATTAATATGACAACTACATACACAAATAATAATTCAATTAAAACATTAATTGTGAATTTGATCCGCATAGGCCTAACTGATAGATCTGATCTTTAGCACTGGAGAGAATTACAAATAAGGTTTTTCATTTTATATTGAAATATAAAAAGTGTGATAAAAAGTATAGGCCTACCATCTCTTGGAATTGGTATATTTAGTTTAAGGATGAACAGGCCGGTTGCATTGTTTTCTTGAAGTTCGTAGTTGATATTTTTGAAGGGATTTGCATAACAGTCTCCTTCAGTCTCGCATGTTTTTGCCTCAGCACCTTGACAATTAACTGGTGAGAAACATTAGTAAAGACAAATTAAATTGGAAAAGGGCACTCTCCCTTGGCGCCGCATGTTCATGTTCAGTGGTGCAAAGTATTTAGAGTAGATTACGATGAAAATAAAATACTGTACGTCCTAACATTCTAACATTTACATTTGTAGCAGATGATACGTAAGAATCCCCAAACAGAGTTCCCCAGCTCTGGCGTCTGAAGAAGGGATAATAATCACTGCAAATTGATCGGTCTATAATTTCTGCCTTCAATGTATGTGAAGGTGTTTTTAAAATACAAAACACCAATTGGAATATGCCTCGGTCTATTCTATTTTCATTGTTTAATAATTATAAATTATAAGCCATATGGTAAATTCAACCCCTTTTCATATTTTGGTTAGTGTCCCCTAAATAGGTGTACACCTGCATTCAGTAAACACCCCTACGTAGAACACTTTCGTTCTCTAAGATGTCGTGGCACTCGTTACATAGTTAGTTATTAAAATGATGATAATAATTATAATATTTATATTATATGATAAATATAGGCCTAATTATTATAATCACGATTATTAAAATGTTCATAGATATTATTTAGTTTAAATATTGAGCTTCATTATTATTATAAACATAATTATATTATTAAATGTATCAAAATCTATCACCTAGTCATTCATTTCGTATATTTATACTTACACTGTTTAGATATATTAACTTCGCATTCCTGACGGTAAACCTGGCAATGAAATTGAATAACATTAAACTCACAATCAAAATATTCTAATAATAATATTACCAGGTCACAACATGTTTAAATCATTACCCTTCAAACACAAACGTACTTATTACAACATTCGAGCCTGGTTCTCACGAGAGCCCTAGTATCCGGCTAACCGTTAGCGCTAACCGTTAGCACTTGCGTGAGAACGCCCGATCGGTTAGCGCTAACCGTTAGCAGTATCCGGATACCGCTGACGGTTAGCAAACGCTATCGGTTAGCAAGTTGAGCACGTTTTTATCATCAACCAATCACACGTACGCGTTTACAATTTCCAGTTTCTTATTGGCCAGTGATTCGATCATCATATTCTTGGTATCCGGATCGGGATCTTCTCTTATGGACGTACGGCAGCTAACGGTTAACAGGATCCGGATCCTGCTAACCGTTAAGGCCAACTCAGACAGCGTCGGCCGACGCAGCACGACGCGATTTGTTGTCGCGTCGGGTCTGTGTGAGTTGAACGCAGACGCGATGGTGTGCGTCGGGGGCAGTCGCGTAGTAGAATATTAAACGTGTTTAATATTTCCAAGCTATTTCTCACGACGGCTTAAGGCTATGTTCAGACACAACGACTTACGCTAGCGTAACGTTAATCGAGTGGTGTGAACTTGTGCGCGGCGTAGCGAACGCCAGTATTATCGCGCAATCACTGGCGTACGGTAATCCAGCAACAGACCC